GCTCATCTGTCATCCGCTTGATAGGAGTCATTTCCCTTATAACAACAACAGAGTAATTAAATGAAACAAGGAATAAATCGTACCGTATAAATCATATAAATGTTCCCGTTTCCCTCGTCCAATTCCCGTTTTATCCAGTGCCTGTTGAGATACGAGAAGATGCCATCAACAACCTAGACATACTTTGGAACCAGATGGTATCAGACTGAGGATGAACCTAACGACATACCTTGGAAGAAAATCTGAACTCCGACCATTGCGTAGTGTAGTATCGCAGCAAGTCTTCGCCAAGAAGGTCCCTCGCTCCCTGCAATGTGAACAGCTTAACTTTCGTACGAAACTGAAAGAGGAAAAAAGGGTCACATTAGAAAGCCCACCTCCAGCCTTGCTTTTACATATGACTCGATGAAATTGGTCAATTTCGCGTACATCTCGACGCCCACAAAATCCGTGCCGGTCACTGGTCCGTCTTCACCACTGAAGTTTTTGTGCGAAGAAGAACGAGCACCTGATCGAGTAGGTCGACCAACAACACCCGGATTAGCATTCACAGAGACGGCCGTGCAGAAATCGTACACACTTCTGGAAATATTCGGGTCCGATTGGGCATCAACGGCTTTGATTGACGTGGTTAACAAATCGGTCAGCAATGTGATGGAAAACCCTTCATTTGGGTGGGGGGGGGGGAGTTGCGGCTATAGCAAGAAACCGCCGATAATGAGCTTCTAGCGGGCTTCTAAAAAGTAAAAAGAATAAAAGGTAGTACCGTATAATAGGTGAATCCTCGTTGCATACAAAAACCCCTCAAATAGACTTTAGGCGCCTTCGCATGAAGCTTTGACTGGAACAGCAAAAGGAGCCTCAAAAAAATCACGCTTTTGCAAGCACGCTTAACGTTCCTGGTAGGTACTTTTCTCCCCTCACATAAGAGGGCGTTCATGCTTTGTGTTTGCGTTTGGCGCGACTGGGAAAGTATAGTAATCGATTTTGCGCTCTCGCGTATAGTTTCTCACAACGCCATATCGGTGCCGGTGCCTGTACTTTCCTGATTGCTTGAAAAGCTCACGCAAAGTATGAACAAATTCCCAGGTGCACTGGTGCAGACGCTGTCAAGGAGGTGTGCATCCTAACCCGCTTTAACAGCATGAAGACGACGCCAAAAAATTGGAGTTGACGTGGGGTGATGGGGTGTCCTCTCCCTTCCCCTCCTCCAAACACAGGGAGGTCACTTCATGATAGCTACTCAACAACAGGGAAAAAATGAAATAGAAAACGAGTACAGAAGTCAATATGGGACTGCAATAGAGAAATGAACCGTTTTTCCTTCAGCCGTTGGTTTACTATGATACCCTCGACCAGGAATGGGTAACAAGGACCACCACCTATTTGAGGCATGACTCATCTGCTGCACGGTACGAATCTTGTCGATTACGTGCGATTCGTAGCCCAAATCGATTCCTTCGCTGCTTCCCATTTGAGGAACAGGAACGGAAGACCAAAAATATTACAGTTCCCCTTTGTTTTTACACTACAAGCACAAAGTGAGTACAGAAAAAGTAAAGTCTTTCGAGTGCACCCCCACTCGACTTCCCATCAGCGCAACGGACGCGAACGGCGGTACAAAGCCCAGCGGCGCAGTTTTGATTAGGTGAGAGAAATAGAGGTGAATTATACGCCGTGGGATCTTCAGGTCCCTGAAAAATTTAAAAGGCGTGAAACTAATGGCCCTTTTCATGGTCCCTGTATTGAAAAGAGAAACCCCAGGCGCTAAAGAAAAGAAACTTAAATGCTTTCTGTGAAGACTCACGTGTAAAGCTCCATATAGCGCTGAGATTTCATGACTTCTCGCAAATATACAGCCTGAAGGCCTTTGTACAAATCCTCCCAGACGCCATCGATCGTCATATTCTGGCGTCTGCTTCCAGAAACCGCCATCACGGTCTGCAAAATAAATAACATTACGATTAGATCTCCGCCTGTAATAGATATGAGTCTTAAAAATGATGGGACCGATGTCAAGACTGCAGTTGGAGCTGCACAGGAAACATATTAAATTGTCATCCTAGTAGTAAATGAGGTAGAAAAGCGCTGCCATGAAACGGGAGTTTTTCCACATTCGCCAAGATATTCCAAAAAGATCTTTCAATGCCAGTGAGTCGTATTCGAGCAAATATGATTAACACTTGCACAGAAAGGTAGAAACAGATGGGCACCAGATGTCCTGCACTCATTGACGATTGACGTCCGCGACGCAGACCGCGCTCGGATTGGAGCGCAATATTGTCAGTGGAGCGCGCTTGTCGAGGATACCGCGACCAGCCGATGTGAGACTATTAGCCGCAGCCTTCTGGCGCTCCGAAAGTTTCGTGGGTTTCATTTCCTTTGCTTCTCTTCGCTAAGTTGATTAGGAAGGAGAGCGCGCGGCAGCGCGCCGAAGTCCTTCCCACGGGTCGAGGTCTAGAGCTGATAGAGTGCGTGGGATCAGGATCGGAGCAGGCATAGTCACGCGTGCCCCTCGTCATGAGCTACACTAGGGACTGAATAAGGTAATTATAGTCGTAGTCTCCTTTCGTTACACAATCGTTAGATTTAGAAGTGACCAACTGCCAAGCACTTCGTTTTCTACATAGTTTCGTTTTTTTTTCTGTGACCGAACTGGAAAGTGGGTTCGTGTCCTTAAGTACAGTGGGCACCATGGCTGGGGCGAGCGGCTGCTGCAAATGTCAGCGGTGGATGGGTGAGGGCGTTTGGCCACACCCCACTCTGCCCCTCCACCAATGACGTTGACACCAACCGCCCGCCCCAGCCATGCCCATTGCCTCTGAAGATGAAAATGAGGAGGGCCCCCCGTGGGGGGAGGTTAGAAATTTGTAAATCCGCAGACATTCAAAAGAGTCACAATTCTTCTCTGGGTTTCGTTACCCCAGCTCTCCCCTCATTTATGAGGATCGCTCCCATCTTAGAGATGAGAGAAATGCTCCTTTGGATGTCTTACCCTTTCGAGAGGACTTCGATTCTATGCATGCATTTACTTAGAGCTGCAGAGTTATAAAGGAATGACCCTTGGATGGTGAGGGAATGAGAGATGGACAAAACATCCTTGATTAGCCGCACGGTCGGAAGCGGTGTATCGAGCGGCGGCGCGAGGCGAACAGCAGTAAAATTCATGGGATCTCAAGCGTAGGCAAGCAAGACTCCCTTCCCAGTGATCAATCTTTCCTGTCCCTCCAACATTCATACTCAAAAGACCGGGCAGGAGAACTCGTCTCTAGCGTGCGCGGCGTCGCTGGCCACGCCTGTCGCCGCATATTGCGACTGTTCTGTCACTTACCCGGAGAGTACACGAATGCGTCTGCCGCCTGGCACAGTTACAGTAGCGGCAGAAACCGTGCACATGCCATGGAATGCTTAATGGTTTGAAGCCTTCCAACGACCACATCGACACAAAACAATAGCGTTTGGCCAGACCAGAACCCGCCTACCGGTGTGATGTGACATTTTTGGACAGGTTCACAAATTTTATTCAGAATACCGCAGTAGAGCAGCAAAAAAGGACGAAAGCTCTCAAGGTTGTACAACGATCTGAGGGAGATCGGTAATAAGAGAGATGAGAAACAAATCAATCGAGGTGGCTCGTTTCGTATCTGCCTAATAGGAGCCACTGCTATTTCCTAAGCCTCTCAGGGAGGCAGGGTTGACGACATAGGGACACAGAAAAGGACTTGAAGAAATGTTAATTTAAGTTCAAGAATTATTGAGTATCTAACACTAGGTTCAGATTAGGCAGCGTTGGCAAGTTTCCACGTTCTCCTTGAGACCTCAACGTCCACAATCTTCCCCAGCTCGGCGTTATTTCCATTCGTTTTCTTGCTGCTTCATCGCACTTCCGCTTCCGATTCGTTGCAGCTCCAGCCGGCTGTAGAATTCTGCAATATGAATATTTTAATGAGCAATGGTCATCATCAAAAGCGCCTTCTGTGATTGTAAGCCGTGGGAAATGGGGTACAAATATGTAGAAAAAAAACTGAATATGCAGATCCGCAGTCAATTGGTTTGGCAATATGAAAGTGGCACAAGAAGCTGGCTGGAGGCGTGCGAAGGAGTGTAGATGAATAGAAACTGAACGCGCGGGCGAGATGTCGGGAAAGTAGCTGGTGAGAAGGCACAGAGAGGACATGGAGGAAGAAGCGCAACAGTAAAGTGATGGGCGGGAGCCTACACTGGTGGGCGGAGACTTCGAGTCTCTAGCGACCTTGTTCTTGTATAGAGGAATGAACTCTGATAAAGTGTGATACTGCGCACCTCTTTTGAGAGCGTATTTAAGAGAGGTGAGCGGTAGGGTTGAGTTAGTTTTGTGTGTGGTATACTCGCCAGATAAACCTTTCTGTGCGTATCGTCTATTTCGACACTCCCAGAGACAACACAGAAGTCAGGGATCTAACACTTGTCATAGGCCTACGGCTAGTAAATGTTGCTCAAGCTATGCTCGAAAGTGATACAGGCAAAAGTGGTGTACCTCGGGAGTTTATTGCGCACTTTTCACACGGAAAAGATCCCAGGCATCAGGTAATCGCGAAATGTGTCATTAATTCGCTGAGGGGTTTGAAAACACTGCGCTTCTAAACTGCGCCTAGTAAGAAGGTTTCGCCTGCGGCTTTAAATTGCCTCTGACATTCTTTGTAAGAATTAATTGTGTCCACAATTTTGTAAGAAGTAGAGGAGTGTTCACTCACCTTCGGGATGCAGAAGGCTGAGAGAGCAGTGAACTTTTGGGCACCTCAGCTTTCCAACACTGGTCAAAATTTTTAGGCAGCAGAAACTGAGGGTATATTTATTTATTTATTTATCATGGACGCATAGGTGCGCTAAGCAGTGCAAGCGATAGGCTTAGAGTCATAGAACAACCAAAAATACGATTACCATAAAAAAATTCGGTAACACAAAGCAACCGAGGAAAGACTTCACTAAACTACTGGATTCAGGAATCCTGAATGCTTAGCAAGGTCATCAGATCGACCTTCTTTAGTCTCTTTCTGAACGTGTAGGTGTTAGGCGCCTCCAGCAGGTCTGATGGAAGTAATTGGAGATACCTCGCTCCACGGAAAAACAGTGAGTTGAAAACTCTGGTTCGGTGGCCCTTGCACAGTTTAGGACATTGTAAGGACAACGAGGAGGTGCGACCATTTGTCGGTCTGAACACCCAGTATTTACTGGGTTTCAACCTAGCTCTCCTTTCAGTATCTTGAAACAAAACATAATATCATTGAACACCCTTCTATGCATCAGTGATTTGAGGTTGAAAATGTGTAGGCGCTCCTGATAGCTAGGCATACTATGCGGATACTCAGGATCGGGAAAACAACGATACATCAAAACTCGTGAAAGTTTGCTGCACCTTTTCGATTTTCGCCTGGAGCTTCTTAGTATGAGGGCTCCATATTTGCGAACCGTATTCGAGAATGGGGATGACGTATGCTTTATAAAGCTTCAGTAGAATTGAAGAGTCGTTTTCTCGGATATTTCTCAGGATAGCAAAGAGGGTCACGAGAGCTTTGCGAACAATAGTATCAATGTGATGCGAGAAATCCAAAGTGGAATTCACGAGCATCCCAAGATCGCGAACTTCTCTCGAAACACTTATGGAGATGCCGTCGACGGTGTACGGTACAACTATTGCTTTTCCTATGTGAAGTACAGAAGTTTTCATAAAATTAACTGGTATACCCCAAGCAGTAGCCCACCCCATCATGTTACATACAGATTGGGTTAACGCTCGGTGAACGCAGTTATAATTGTCATAGACACCATATATTTTGATGTCATCGGCGTACATTTTAACGCTGACCAATGGGTGGGTATTTAGGCAGGCTGGAAGGTCGTAGGTGTACATCAGAAACAGCAGAGGAGACAAGACACCACCTTGTGGAACTCCACTAGTGCAGGGGAAACTGTGAAAAAGTATCACCCACTTTGACAAACATGTGTCTATTCTTCAGATAACAGCTGATCCAGCTAAGGATGGGGCCTTCGATACCCAATTGCCACAATTTGTATTGGAGCTTTTCATGATTTACTTTATCGAACGCTTTGGACAAGTCGAAATAAATAACGTCCACACCCTTCCCCTTGTTAATAGCTAAATTCCAATCGAACAGACAGTCTGCCATAAGGGTACCTGTGGAAGCACCACTAATAAACCCATGTTGCTCTGCGGGAACCAGATTGTTCTTCATCAAATGGGATACAATTTTGTCACGCAAAATCGTCTCTAGAGCTTTAGCGGGGGGTGCCGTTATGCTTATAGGACGAAACGAAGAGACATGCTTAGGCTCAGGTACCTTAGGGATGGCAGTCACGATAGATTCTTTCCAGCTCATCGGGATCTCACAGAACATGAGAGATACATTGAGTATCATACAAATAGGTTTGCATAAGGAAAGGGCACAGTTTTTATAAACAATTTGTGGAATACCATCGAAAGGAACCGAAGTGGAGCACTTGAACGATCTTAGTATTTTGTAAACGTCTTCATTTGTTACCACACACTCCCTGATAGTATCAAGAGATACACGACTTTCGGAGCTTACGTCAGGGTTTATGTTACCCGCAGAGGAGAAAACGGAAGAAAAGAACTTGGCGAGGGCTTCAGCTTTTTGTACATCAGTTACGAAAAGATTTCCTGCATCGTCATGAAGCACAGGTATACCAGTATGAGTCCTAAGCCTACTTTTAATTAGCGCAAAGAGAACTCTTTTGTTTGGGCTAGTGATAACCCTTTTTTCCCTATAAGACAGGAATCTCTTTAAAGGCAGTTGGCACGATGGTTTCCTACTTAGCCTAAAATGCTAGTAGGGCGCTGTGGGGAAATGGCGAAAGAACGGAGTGAAACGGTCAAAATCCGGCGAAGAAAAAGCCTCCGTTCTCAGTGACTTGTAAATCGATTTCGGACGAGTTTCCCGTACGCATCTTGCCAATCACCGCTACCGAAGATACGGCTGCATATGTGTACCCATGTATGCATGCAGCATCACCGCCGCTTCATACCAATCCCTTTGCTTCATAATTTGCTCAGCAAATGAATGAATACGAGCGTCAGAAACGGTCGTCCGTTTGTGGGCGGGCGGGCAAGGAAGGCGTTTGGGACGTAAAGTTGTTGCTCAATAGGGCGTTATAGAGGTACCCTCCTTGGAAAAGGCTTCACGCAGCGCCTGTCCGAGGTCACGGAATTCTGTTAAGCCAGTTGTACAAATCCTACACCTGTATAGCGATTTATCGTGCCAACTGCCTTTAAGTGATGATCAAGCTCAAGACAAACTTTTTTGTACTGAAGAGCTGACAATGGGTCATTTGGTGACTCAACATAAAGCCGCGCTTTCTGAGCTAACAAATTGCTAATATGTCTCGGATATTTCGTTGGTGGCACAGATACGGAATTGAAGGGTACATACTTAGATAGTGCTGCGTAGACAACGCGGCAAAATCTTTTGTACATGTCCTCACAAGAAGCATATCCATCAAATACGCTCCACCAATCTATAGAGGAAAAGTACTCCGATAGCGAAGAGTAATCGGCTTTGGGTAATGGAAGTTTACTCGGCCTAGATGAGGAAATGATAATTCTAAAAGATATTATGCTGTGATCAGACGCTGCTAGAGGAGGTAATACCGAAACGTTCCTAACAATATCAGTGTTGGATAGTATTATGTCCAGAGTAGACTTTCCTCGTGTGGGCTTACATGCTGAACAAAGCCACAACACCGAAAGAACTCTAGAAACTTAGCGGAAACAGGATTGTTGGCCCTGTCCCATTTTCCAGTCAACATCGATATTAAAGTCGCCTAGAATAACCAGATGCCTATTCGAAGTACATAGATCGAGCAAAGAGTCGATGAGGGTACTATCATCATCTGACGTAGAATTAGTGGTCTATAAACAAGCACAACCCTAAACAGAACAGCGGAGGATATGTCATAGCCATCTAGACAATGTAGCATTCTTGGCTATACAACAAACACCCCCACCCTTACGCTCCTTACGATCAAGCCGGAAAATATTGTAGGGGCGACTTTCAAGAAGTTCGGAATTTGTAATTCTCGAGGAAAGCCATGTTTCGGTGATGAAAACCATATCTGGGTCGTATGTATCCAGGAAAAAGTGCAAATGGTGCATCTTATTGCTTAAACTTCTAGAATTTAAAAGGTAACATCGAATACCCGGGAGTGGACCGTGGCGACTTAGGCGTTTCCCGAGCCCCGTCTATAAGGGAGCTCGTCGACACGTCTTAGCTCACCACGGTACACTACCCAAACACGGCCATTTAACTGTTGCGAGCCCTGCACTCTTCCCTTAACTCGAACTCGTGTTTGCGCTCAGCAGCGGTTAAGCTTTTACGTATGTATACATTTGAGAAACCTGCTGCGCGCAAACGATGGCTATTGGTAAGGGCCGTGAGCCAGTGACTCCTGGCTGGGAGTACAAGTTTAACCAATCGTGGGTGTGCACCTCCGGGTTTCCCCATACGGTATACCTCCACGGGGCGGCACTCGACCCCCATACAGTCAAGAATATCACCAACTTTCCCTTCGAGTTCCTGCTGTTTCACAGAGGGAGGTGTAGTAGGGGCAGATTCAGGGATTCCGAAAATCACCAGGCTACGTGCCCTCTTTTCAGCCTCAACAGCTTCCGTTATCGTCTCCGGCAGCTTAGCCACCAGCGCGTTGATATATCTTCCCATAACAGGGTCCTTCAATTGCTCGTTCCTTTCCATCATTGCACTTATAAGTTCCGACACCGACATTTGCGCAACGTCAATCTCAGACGGACCATTCTTCAAAGAACTCGAGTTTCCTGATTTAGCATTGGTCGATTGGCGAGCCTTCGTCTTGTTCTGAGACATGACCAACTAATCAAAGTACTGTGTATCGAAAACTTAACTGCGTCGACGGTGCAACTGCTCCGTACAATCTCCCAATCCAGTAACTGTGATGGGATATCGAAAAGATATGCTGGTATATCCTCAGAGTGACCGATGCCGAATAATATGATGTGATAGGAATACCACGTCGTATGGATAGCAGCAGTAGGTCAGGTAATAAGCAGTTCACCAACAGAATATGCCCGGAGCGATAGGAAAGTCGGCCGCTCACGATGGGTGTAACCGAACGAATGTTAGTTTTATCCGAATAAGGTACAGCCCTGTTTGCTGCGGATGCCAGGGCGCATCACAGGAGCAAGGCTTGGCGCGACGCCAACCGTTTCTTTACCAACTGCCGAGCAAGGGTCAGTAATTGGTGGGAAACGAGCTGATGCTGCTCCGCAGCCAACAAGAGTGTAATCCATTCTTTTGCGGAAAAGACGACTGCCTTTATTCTCCCAGAGTTCTTCTCTACACAGCGATACTAAATAGTGAATTCGGTGAACACTCTAATTCATTCAAAACGAGGTTCAACTCCTTAATGATGGCTATTCGCATGCCCAATTCGAGTCATCACAAAGCGTGAAAAGTACCACAAAGTCACCAAATGCCTATAGAGTCCCTTTTCAACAAATGAGGATGTTGTTTATTAGTTTTAGAGGCTAAAGTGCCCTTAGCAGTTTTTTTACCTACATTTTTTTACCTACTTTTAACCCTCTTGGGATACCCTCGAAAGGAATCAGAAGTGTTTCGCATTTTTTTCTCAGCGCTGACGTCCTCAGCGTTGGATGTAATGAACTTCAAACAGCTCGGCTGTTGAAGCTGACTGAATAAAGCAGAATGGGTCAAGGATGGTGGCAAAGGTTTCCAACAACTCTCCCCCGCTCCCCCCCCCTACATAAATTATTCTTCTGAAACTCCGACGGCACACGTATTCAATTCTTCTGAAACTTCGACGGCACACGTATTCATGCGTCTTTTTTGGTGTGAAAGAGTAGGCCTCTCCGATTGACTATCACGCGTGTTAAACTGGGAAAATGAATAGTAAGGGACCTTCCTCTCCGGGATCTGTAACGGGAGAAATGCCCTGTTGGGAAAGATTTGCAGAGGTTCTGGGCATGAGTGCGGTATGCGGTCGCTCCTCTGTGAAGAAGCCAGGTCGTATAGTGCACTATACAAGAAAATCGCCAGTTTGAACCGCCTGAATCAATCTGAAACCGTGCGCTCACAGAGAGCGCTTCCCTTGGAACGTACAATTCACAGATCATTCGAGCAGTTTTTACATTCCAGCGCTTCCATTAATCCCGCATCTGGTGCTCCTTCTGATGTTACTCTCGTTCGCGTATAAAATTGCTGGCAGGATAGATCAATAAACATTTAAATCACTGTCGACATCGCTCGAATCGCGAACTGTGAGTACGACCTACGTCCCGCAATATACATTTTCCAAATAATCGTAAGCTCAACTTATAGAGAAAAGCAAAAGGCTCTCAAGAAAATTGACCAATCTGATTTCGCCCTTTCACGCTTGAATGTCTCAAGATTTTCATGTTCTAAGATAAAATGTTTGCTTTGATTGTAGTACTCCCTAACCAACTAACATTTATTTTGCCCTACACTATTTACACACAGTGAATGTTGTTTGGTGTTTTTAAAAATGATTTTGGTTCCGGTTTTGGTTATTTAACATGTACAGCTTCTCATTATACGGCCGCTTGTAATCCATTCGGGTAGCCGTATGAGAAATACCGGTATTATCTAAAATCAAATAGGTACTTTACTAATATTGCAAGGATCTTCGTAAGTCCCTTCCACAAAAAGCTTACGATCAAACTGTGCAATGCTCCAAAGATCACTACCAATACTATAGCTGTCACAAACACTGACGAGGCGTAGGTCTGAAAATTCGGCGCTGTACGGTTTTGTCATCTTCATTTTGCCCTACAAGAGCTAGCCCATGTGCAATTCGCCATTTTCTCCTGCCAGACAAGCTTGATCCCAGTCTAGGCCGCGTTTATACTTCGCGGTCAATCGCGCGATTCACGAATGAAGCGACTATGACCGACTGGTGCTCCCCATGGTGAATCGCCGGAGCGCTGCAACAGCTGCAAATGTGTTGTATTGAATGCGATCGAACAGAAAGTTGCACCGATCCAAAGACTTCGAAGCGCGGTCAGTCACAGTCGCTCGACATAATCTCTCAAATCGCGGACGTGTTTAAGTGACATTGGAAGAATGGAAGGTTCGATGGCTCGGATGAAAATTGATCCGGAGTTTTGAATTTCTGAACTCAGGATACGTCCTGCCATAGGAAAGAACTTCGTCTGCAACACTTCCTCCTCTGGTACAATCTCGCTCCTCTCTTCGCCATCCGACATCCCAATCGTCTTTTTTCTGAATTTCACCAAAATAGTTTCTTCTTTTAAGGAAATTCTTCGGTTCCTCCACTGCGGTTTTTTCCCAAAAAACTGCGAGCGAGCGAAGGGTATAGGGGGTATCGTATACGAGTTGTATATTGGGGGGATATTGGGGATTTTTCGCTGGGGATCTCCAACATACAACTTGCCCTGACTGAACCATGAATGTGCCAGCGGTCGTTGTTGTCCCCAGATCTGTTCACCGCTTGTCGTGATCCGAAGAGGGAGGAGGGGGGGGGAGGGGTTCCGAATAGCCTCATCGTAACGATATTTAGCTCCATGCACACAAAAGACTATTCTCCAGGACCAATAGAGTTCCACCAAAACCTTTTGTCCAGGGAGAAACTCACGGGAAGAAAAAGGAGTGGCAGAACGCAACTGATGGTCGACAAGCCCGACTGGGCCAATGGCAGCGCCACACATTCGACAGTATTCTGCACCTTTCTAATAATACCACTTATGGGAGTTCGTACCACGCTACCGCCACTGATTTTGCTTTTCGTATCCACCTGAAATTTTACAAACATGTAGAGGAGGGATAAACTACGCGATTCAAGGGAGGAAAGGTATTCTGCACTTTTGCTACTACTCATCAGCGTGTCGAGCCATCTAGAGAGCTATTTCATGAGCTTACAAGAGTTGACAGGTTTTACCATGGTGGCTCGACGAGCTTGCTCCAGCTTCACAAGAGTTCACAGGTTTCACCAGAGTGAGACTTGTAAACCAGAACTAGTGAAGCAACGAAAGTGCAAAATGCCTCTCCCCTCACCCTCCTCCCCCCCCCCCTCGTAGACGAACTGCGTCGAGAATTCACCTGCAAATGGTAAGCGACATGAGCTATATAGTCCACGCTCATGCCGATTGACATCAAAAGTGCTACCATCACCACTGGATCGAGATCGAAGCCAAACAAGGACATGAAACCAATCACACCTAAAATCACCCCGTTCGAAATTGCGGTCTCTGCTTCTAAGGCGTCTCGGCGATAGATCAAAGATTTTATATGATAAAAAACTAGCCGATGCTAATGGAAGCCATAGCTGCGCTTGCTGTTATTGTACCGCATATGTTGCCCATGAAGATAGCACACACGACAGTCATCGAAGCCAATGTGAACAGAGCGGTCTGAAAAAGACACCATTGCACAAAACTGATATATCGCCCATGTCCGAGGGTGAAACAAGGCGTGCCGGCAACGGCCGCGCTTCGACCTACATATGCATGCCTCTGCTTCCTATGGTCTAGACTTTGCAACCACGCCTCCTTTTACCTTCAGCTATGGACCAAAAGACGTTTCTCACTTGATGACTGTCATTGTAACGCCCCACCATCTTTTGAACACTCTACCTTCGAAAGCTATCGCAGGAAAATTAAATTACGGGAAAAAGTCCTCACCCCCGACGAGACTCGAGCCGGCACTGGACCAGTGCCTTAAGCTTGCACCGCCTAGCACTCAGCCAGCTTAATAGCTTTTATGCATGAAGGCTGCGACTTGAAATCCATTAAGCTGAGAGGGGAAAGATGGCCCTGGTAGCGTAATGATAGCGCATCCGACCGTTTAGGTGAGGTGCGGGCCGGAGCCCAACCGGGGTCAAGACCCCATAACTCAGCATTCTTATGATAACTTTCGGAGCTCGAACTGTGGCGCTAGACAGCACCTATCACGACAGAAAAACTATTTCCACTTCAGTATGTAAGCTACTTGAAGGTGCCCGTTCGCGAACCACTTCGTGGCTACGCAGGGTAAAGGAGGGATCAAGGGAAATGACAGGCAGCAAAATTTCAAATAATAGCGGACAAGGAACAGAAAGCCGTAGAAACAGTCCCCTCACCCGGTGGAAATCAAAATAATCGGCAGGGTTACGTTCATACTCTAAAGCGGACACTAACTATAAGGCTCTAAGAAAACGCGCTCCGAAAGATAGGTGAGTACCGATCGGCGGTAGTCGCTGGTGTATTGAGAGGTAGTAGGAGTATAGGAGGGCCTCAGAAGGTGCAATTAGGTGCCGTAAAAAAGCAAGTACGGTCGCAAAAAAGCAACACCACTATTTGACGACGCCTAGCCACTGCTGAGACATTCCTAACCTATTTTCTCTCATCACTAGCGGTCGGCGCTGATCATTACCGGGAGACGGACAAGAGAATCGTTATTTGCCACCCCGCCGCGCGCGTTCTCGTGTTGACTTGTCAGTTGGAGGACGGACTTCATGTAGACCCCGTCATCGTAGACATTCATGACTATTTTCGGTTCTGAATTGCCTGTTGTCGCCATCTACTACCTGGAACCATCGCCATTTGCAGACGCGACGCTCACCAGCGCGGAGAATTAAGTCTCTTGTCACATACCCGATCAATACCCGCATATACTTTGACGCGCACCCTCTGAACGCCGATTAGACCACCTCTCCGCCGTTAAGTATGAATGCAGCGTTATGCGCCTTCATACCTTCTCTTGTCCAGCCGTGTAATAGAAAAACGGAGGTTCTACTGTAAACGACGATATGGGTCAGAAGCGCCAATCAGAGCTGACACGACTTAAAGCTACCGAAGTACGGATACAGTCTGTCCTGGTTAGTTCTGATTGTGGAAGATGCATGTTCTTGGATAAAAGAGTGCTTCCTTTCTGTAAGTTTCGGTTGCCGTGACGCCCCTGGGCAACGAAATCTGCAAACCCCATCTGATTTCCATATGAAAATATCTAACCTGTACAGTTACAGAACTCAAACTCAGCATCTGATCCACATAGAATCCAGCCGATTCGTACACAGTCATGTTCAGATCGCGATATCTGTGAAGAAAATTCCTCAATACGGAATGCATTCATGTCAGTGAAGTTCTTTACTGTCAAGCAAAACCCAAGATTTGGAGCCTGTTGAAGACAACACTGCGTAGCGCGGCCCTATATGATGGGAGGGGAGGGGGTGGATATTTCGTCCATCACCATCATGTATCTTGCCCAGGCTCTGCAAGGCTCGCTGTGTAGAGACAACGTCGTAAGCTGAGGGATTCCCAGCGGAGGTGGGGGGGGGTCACATTTGTTCTGAGGAAATTTTTTTTGATTATTGATTTTTCTTATTTCTTCACGGACGCTACTAGGGGGGGGGGTTGTACTAGCTCGCAGTCCAGCAGTTCAGAGAGGAGGTCATTTGAGATAGTTTGAGACGTTCGGAGTAATTTTTCCCGGTTGTTGACTTTTTGCGGTCAGAAAAATCCTGGATAGTTACCAGAAAAGTTCCAAAAAAGTGGTGGGTAAGATGAGAAAGGGCTGGGGGGCAACCCCGGAAGTTCTCCGCAAATCTTCGCCAGCGGTGCCCCGTTTGTAGAAGCTACGCCCTGCCAGGAATGCTGACCAGTGCGTGCTCGGGGTTGGCGGTCCTTGTAGGTCCAGGTAGGAGCTTATGCTCAAGTGGGAGAGAAGTAGCTGTGTTCAGGGGACACCCCTGAGCACAGCTACTTCTCTCTCACTTGAGCAAAAAAAAACCAAGCTCTACACGAGAGCTTCTAGTGAAAGCAAGAAGGCTCAAACTGTTCGCAGTAGGTATGGTTCAAGGAATTCGAGTTGCGGTTGCGCAGCATTTGCAGCGCTTCACGGAAAAAGCTGCAGAGGTCGAGTAGAATGTCCGAGGATGGAGCAAGTTTCTGCGTGTGTCACAATTCGAGTCGTCCGCCCCTATTCGCAGTAAGGTCCAAACAAACAATTGAAGGACCTGGACAAAACTTCAAAAAAATTCCCGCACTTTGCGATCACGTTTCTCCACTGTGTCATCAGATTTATTCGTATATTCCAATCCGAAACGTTTGTGTACGCCACCATGAATAAAAAACGCTCAATCACTACATTTTCCCTGAATGTGCTTACGATTAGCATCTCTGAAAATTTCCAACATTTTTATTGGATAAGTTTTCAGAACACAACTTACGGATCGTTTGAAAACCGGATTGTCATGTCAAAGTGACGTCTGTCGTGTTTAAGAAAGTTTTTCACCTTTTCGGGGATGAGCTTGGTCTGAAACAGCTGATAAAACACTGCCAATCTATGTGAGAACCAAACGTTTAAATTCTTGTAATATTTGAAAAAAGGATATGATATAGCAGAGGTACGCAGTCGTGTCATAAGAAAGGTGGCGTGCCACTGACGTCATACGACAGGTTGATGACGTGTCTTTACACGTCACTGGTCACCAAATAGTGCAGGTTTCATCGTTGTTAACGTGTTATGTGCCGTCTATGACATGCCATCTCTCAACAAGTGACGTATCTATGCTATAGTTGCGCTAGGAAGTGTACCCACATGATACGGATAAAGTCCTCCAGATTTATTGAGACTGTCTGCAAAATCCCGAAGCCAAACATGAGATGAAGCCGCACCTGCACATTCAAACAGGACCATTTTGGTTAATTTCAAAATTCCATGTCTTCAGTTGATAGAGGTTCTAACAATTCGGGAAAGGGCACGTCGTACGTTGGGGATTCCCAGTGAGGAAGTCATATTTGATCGCTGGAGGGAGTAAGGTCGTATTAGCCTTTGAGAAAAATGATTTCGTTCGTTGGCTTTTCGGACATCCCTGCTGCGAGTTTGCTATGCACCACCCCCCTTATCCGCATGACAACAGTTTCTTAGGGAAAAGAAGAAGAATTTCTGGAAAAGAACTGGTACACATGGTAGGAAGTTAGGAAATTTATGAACATGGTTGGTAGGATGGGGAATTAGGACAAGGAATCCTATCAGAAGGGAGAATTCAGAGGGGCAGGGAGCACATTTTGCACTCATGGGGAGCGAGGAGTGCATGCTTGGGATTCTCCGCCCATCCGATGATCATGGGATCTGCGTGCGTTCAATCTTTTCCTGTTGTAAAAACTTTTAGGCTGATGTAAGCTTAATCGTGAAAGGCCGCTTGTCCCTATATTAAACATAGCGGCGTACCTTTGCAGTGAGGTAGAGCTTCAAGTTCTTTCAGCACGCTCCAGAACTGTGCTGTTAAACGGGTGTCGGTCAAATTGAAGCGATTATTGACGAGGAAAACTGGCGACAGATGTTCCCGCCATACTGAAAGCAGTAAATGTTTCGAGTAAAGCTTGGAAAGAAAAACAGTTCAATAACGGTCGGAACTGAAGGGGCGTACCGTATTTCATAAGAAGTCCGTTCGGCCTGTGTAATTCAGAATCTGTGGGCAGAATCTTTTCCGAATCCAAACGGATGTCCATGTTTATCCATCCGTATACGCCCAAAGTCAGATAGATTACTGCCATGATAAAAACGATAACTGCTACCTCCACATGTCTGAGCATAGTGCAGTGGACACGTAATAGTGTCAGGAAGGTGGAATTGATCTGAATTGGGCAATTTGCCTTACCACTTATACATCCAAGCATAGCGCCCCCAATGAACCCAACCTACCAGCGCTCTACAGCCCGTCAGTTGACTCTCGTGCCTGATTTTGTCCGTGTTCTCGTACGACGTTGCTATTGCAAGAGCCGGACCAAACAATATCAGCTGATAGACAAACGTCAAGAAAATCGCTATTGCTGATCCCAAGCAGAATAGACGCACTTCTGAAAAAAATGTGCGCTATAGCTGATTAAAAAATAATGGAACCTTGATCTAGTTATGTTCAGGGTGACATGGCTGACCACATTAGTTAGGCTTCAGGCTGCTTTCGTACTTTGCAGCAGCTTTCATCAGCGACCACTAGCGTCCCGAGCGTACAGCAGCGCCAGCATACATAGCAATCTAGCGAACAGCAGCGTCTCGAGTGCTGGGAAAACAGATATCGTAGGGTCTGCCAGCCCTTACTATCGTCTAATGCTTTCCACCCCTAGACGCTGCTGGTCGCTAGATCGATATCTATACTTTCACGGACGCTGCACTTCCCGACGCTCGAAACGCTGGAGGCCGCTGATGAACGATGAAGCAAAGTAGAATGCAGCCGTAACTACCTGCAGTAAAGCGGAGGAAAAGATAACCTGGCGTTGGTGTAATGGCTCCAATCCCGAAGGCTAGGACATTGGTCACTGATGTGATGGTGATACTTGGACCACACTCTTCAAAAACAATTCCTGAACAATCTTGTGCATTATTAGGGAAGTACCTCTTGCGAAGCAGGATCACAGGAGGAAAACAAGAAAACAGGTTCGGGAAACATCCACACCATCAGTCACTTTCATGCCAAATCGAGGCATCAGGCATAAGTTTCTGCGAGTCAATCACACTTCGTACCCCGATGGTGGGAAGGGCGTGGCTGCGTGCTTCATGTCAACGAGGTAGAGACTGCGCTTTTGCAGAGAGGAGCCTGATAAGGATGCCGGGACTTTGTGACTCGCAGAAATCTCGCCTATACCGAGTTCAAACGTCCAGTGAATGTTACGGACCAAGATGAAAGGTCAGTGATGTTGTGCGTGGCATCACGAACGATATTCGTGCCTGTACTGCCATGCTAGCTATGAGCCGTATGACAAGCACGGGCTTGCCTTGCCTGTCCCCCTTTTGCTGGATATCTCTGCGTTTCTATCCATCGCACGCTTCCCAATATGAAAATATTCGGGCTTCAAATGTGTTTCTGCCGATCACTGTCTCTCTCTCTCTCAACTAGCACCTTGCTATGGCTGCGTTCATACTTTGCGGCAGCGTGCCATCAGCGTCTACCAGCATCCACCAGCCACCATTAGCCTTCCAAGAGGCCGGCAGCGTCAGCGACTAGGAAAGTATAGATATCGGTATATAGATATCAGCGTCCACTAGCGTCGCCAGCTCCTCAAGCGCTAGCGAAGTATGGATATCGGACTGGCGTCTGCTAGATTCTGCCAGCGTCCTCCAGCGTCTGCCAGGGTTTCAAGGACTAGGAAAGTATAGGTATCGAAGCCTCTGCCACCGTCTGCCAGTGTCTATCAACGTTCATCAGCGACTGAGAGTAAAGTGTATGGGGAGGCAGGATGGTAGCAAACAGCTGGATTAGGCGCCGTGAAACTGCGGCGCGTGCAACCGCAACGCCCAACTGCTAAAGCACAGAATTATGCAACTCTCTACCACTCGTCGCTGGTGAGCGCTGGCAGACACTGGCACTAGATCGACATCTATACTGCCTTAATCGCTGATGCTGGACGCTGGAACACTAGTGGACGCTGATAGACGCTGGTGGAAGCTGTCGCAAAGTATGAAGAAAGTCTAAGTTCACAAAACAGGGTTGTCCATGCCCGTATCAAATTTTGGGAGAGGATTGTAACTGGTTACCAAGTCTTTCCGATGGTGTGTAATTGTAATCAACCATCTTCTGCCATGAGTACATCATCAAGAACAACGCATCGACTCCTGAATCCCTTGCAGTTAGCGACAGGGCGACAAGTTAAGAAATTCCCAAAACAGAATGATGCGAGCAGCGCTCATACTCCTCGATTCGGGAATTTAAGCGCGACCTGTCTCAAGGCGTAAAGTGTGAACGCTGTCCTGCAGTCTGCGGCAAAACATGGAATAGTTCGGAGGAAATAGTCAGCTATTAGTCTCGCGCTCCTGGTTCATCCTCTTCGCATACGCGCGCGTCAAAACTGAGCAGAGCGCACTTGACCTGATCTGTACTGCAAACTCACCAACTCCCATAATTAAAAAAGGCATCACAAGTAGCAGTGAGTTAATACGTATTCCTATAAGTGCAAGGAGACCATAAGTTGAGGTGATCCCCAAAAGTGGGCAAAGTGTTGCACAAATACCAATCAGGCTGCAAAACGTGTAATTTCCAGCGCTCTGCACAAATACCCAATCAGGCTGCAAAACGTGTAATTTCCAGCGCTCTGAATTCCGAACTTCCACCCACTTTTTTGTCTAGACTAGGGCTTTAGTAGCAATTCATAGTTCACTCACATTTTCCCAACGTCCAGAGCCTCATAGTAGTACGAAATGGACAGCACACACAAGATCACCATTGCCAGCATACTAGCAAATCCTAAACTGGCGGCATTGGTGAACTACAGGAATCATTTTTGTTAACTGCTGCCAATAATGTCGTTTTAGGTCATCATGAAAAGATGCCTATCGGTTACTCGCACGGCAAATTGCGCATCAATCAATAAAAGTCGCGAGACCAGTCACGGATCGAAGACAGCGGTACGCATCGGGGGATGTGCAAAGTGCGGGGTGAGTACGACCCCCTCTCGAGTAGGGTCAAGTTACGACCCCCCCCTGTTCTAACTGACAACCAGATGCATGTCCACACGAAATGGCTTCCCCAAATGGAATCTGGATTTTCGAAAGGCGGACTGCTGCTAAAACCAGCAATAATAGGCCGTTTCAGCCTCATGCAATATGAGGCTGAACAAAAGCCTCGCATTACCTACAGTTTTGTCTTGGGATTCAGAATAAAACTCGTCGTTCGACAACCATGTATAACATGCAACTTGTAAAAAGGAAACAGCATCCAACAGCAACAATGATCATTGATAAGCTAAATTGGTGAGAAAATACGTCCAAGGTAGCGTGTCACGCCTTCAGATGTGCATTTGATGAATGGTGACGGGGAAATCATGTAAACATGCACGTAAACATGTAAACGTAAACATGTTTGAGACGTATTATTTAGTCATCTACGTACTTACGAGTTCATGCTATTAAATGATATTTGTTTATTTATTTATTTACTTATTTATTTATGTATTATTCTTGCTATTCATGCTATATTGCAAATTTTTTTC